CATAAATACTTTCCACATGAGTGTAATAGCCTCGACCTTTTCCCGATCGTGGACCAGAGCGGTTTCTGTCCCATAGACCTTGATTGAATATTGTCTTGTAGTCTTGTCCAAGGATCGCGAATAGGGATGCCTGAATCTTCTTCCGTTCCAAGGAGGCAATTTGTGTCATGATCATCTGTTTCTGTTCGCGGGTCGGGACAGGTGAATTTTTGCAAGGATGTGCCAACCTTGAACCTCGCTTGGGAGGGAGACACCATGCTTTTCGAGCCTTCTCAATCTTTCGTCCATCTCGGTGATGTATTAGAGAAGCGTTTGTCCACTGCGACGACCTTGGTACTCGAAGTAGTTGGGGAAATCAACAGGCAATTCAGTCTTCGCATCGTATTAGAACGAGGCATCGAGCAAGGGCAGGAGCTTCTCAAAGGAGTCGGATTCTTCGGCCTTGTCGAAATCAAAGTCCTCGACCAATTTCCATGCCGTGTCTATGAGGCTTCCCAACAAGTTGAACACCGCTTCACCTTGACGTTTGGAAATGGTCATCTTCCTGTAATAAATGGTGATGCGCTTTCTCCATTCCTTATAAGATGATGCAATTCCATCAAACAAAAGAATATAATTATCTTTGTAGTAGGAATCGACGGATTCTTTTTCCTTCTTCTTTGAGGGTAATATCATCACAAATTTACCTCTTATATATAATCAGGACCGTGAGGGTATATACAAGCGCGTACACAAACGGTATGCAAAAGGGTCCTTCGTGTTGCCGGAGGCTTCAAACAAATAGGTTAATCGTAGACCGGTAGGGCTGGAAAAATTTGTGGAAGACGCTCTAGGGGTTGTAGTGGTGCAGAGGAAGGTGAAGTGGAATTGTGGATGTAGTGAAATATATCGGTAGCGAACCTAGAGCCGTGATTCCGTTACCAATATAATTTAATCAAAAATAAAGATGCACCAAAAACCAACCCAAAACGCCGCTCGAAATTCCATTCCGATGCCGCGCAACCTAAATACGCAGCCCTTTTGCAACCTATATATCGAGCAACTCCCACCCTCTATCGGTGATTATAAAAATTAAGAAAAATCGCAACAGTAGAAAGATTTCACCTCCTATATACCCAATAAGAAAAATAAAAATAATATAATTAACCATATTCTTAATAAGAATACCTTATAATATTAATATAAAAAATATCCATCCAAATATATATATATAAATATCTAAATAATTACATCCAAATTTGTATATATTATTTTTTTTCCATTTATCTTTTCGATCAATATCGAAAATATATACATATCCAAAAATAATAAATATAAATATTTTTATTTAAACATTAATTATTATATTTTAAATTTTTAATAATTCTAATCATTATCATTATATTAATAAAACAAAATAATATAAATTATATATTTATTGTTGAATTTCCTTTTAAAAAATATAACAATTAAACATATTTAAAACATATTCAATAATATATTTTTATATTTATAAATCTATGTATATCGATAAATCGAATAAAATAAATCGATATATTTAGACATCGCGATCAAATATATTGCACAAATGTATCTGTACGAATATAATATTAGTTTCGCAATCATCTCCACCGAATTCCAAGCCAAATTCATAAATTTAAATTCATACCAATTTCGGTTCTCTATAAATTTCGCAAATTACCGATTATCCTCGGAATTCGTACCCAATATACAATTACGATCTATTCTCTACGTGGGTCCTATTTCCATTCGCATGTTCAATACCCATCGTCCAAGTAGCCTCCAAAGCCCTTCATAATACTTAATGCACTACTCAACGTCCATTACATCATTCGCATCACCAAACCCCATTTTCACTAGCCCTCGCTTTAAAGCGCTCCCCCACCAAACTCTGGATTCATCCTATCAAAAGGTCCTCCTCAACGACCATCCCTCCCCACACCCCCTTAATTCACTTCGTTCGCCTAAAAGCTCAAGCCTAGCCTATCAGCTGGCTTTCGTAATATTTATTCATTACAAGTATTAATTTAGGATAATTTGGATATATATTTTAATTTATTGATTTTATCAAATATGATTTCCGCCAATTTTAGCGTCATTGGTAGGTAATGATCCTGTCAAAAAAGACGCCCATTTGTGCAAATATAACATATGAATCAAATTTATTGCACGATTAATGTTAAATAGACATGTTTTTAATCCTTGGTGAATGAAATACTTTTGTTCGATTTGGAAAGGGATCAGAATTCCCATCAAAAAGAATGGACACAAGTTGCAAGTCTCAGTCAAACATGTCAGCTGCACATGTCATACGAGTATCCCGGCACCTTGCAACTAACAAGCTGATCCATAAGAATTTTGCTCAATCAAATGGCGGCTGACCCTACAATGCAATAGTCGATGAGAGCTACCAGGAAACATCGCCAGGAACAGAACACATCACGCATATCCTACAACCCCTGGTGGCACCTTCTTGAAGACCATCAAGAAAATGAAACTGTGGTAAGCGCCGGGGATGAAACACAACCTGCAGCTGATATCAGGTAGAAGCTAAGCAGGATGCAAGTCTCAAACCGTCTTTCCTCACGTCGCAAAATCACGCCTTTTCTTGGAACCTACACCGTGGTGTTCGGCTTCCGGCTTTGTTTCAGCGCACAAATGCTTCGTCTAAGGCTCCGACCCGCCCAATACATTGAATGGCATGGCTTCCGAGAGCGACGTCCTTCGCCCCGATGGCGGCATCAGTCGTATCAGTCGACAGCCCTCTTTTGTAATTCTGGCGATGGCCACCCTAGTAGCTTCTTGCTAGCTTCTTGCTCCTAGTAGTAAGGCCAGGAGCTACTAGTAGCGTCCTTGCTCCTAGTAGCGATGCCCTTTGTTACTAGTAGCGATGGCCTCCACCCTAATAGTCTCTGTTGTAAAAAGGCGCATGATGGCAGCTGGCACCTTGGTTTTTCGGTCCGTCTTCCGGATCAACACGGAAGAGCTACAAACATCCAAGAGAAATTCAAGAGAAACAGTTCTGGTCTCTCCGGTTGACACATTCGACATAACCAGAAAGCACGGTCTTGAAGAACACATTAGCTCCACATAGCAAGCATATGGTCCCGACCTGAGTGCAAAGCTGGCCTTTCAGCTAGACACTGTTAGAGATATTGCAAAGATCTGCAAAGCAATGAGCCCAGGGTCTGCTCATTGAACCGAAGTACCGAGTGAATCAAGCACCTGAGGGGTTGGCCACGAAAAGAACCAATGCCAAGATCAGCTCCTGGAAATGATACGCTTGCGATTTTGGGCAGTCGAATCTAAACCAACCAAGAGGACCAACATCACCTTCTGCTCCCAGCGCAATACAACATCCAAATCTTCCAGGCAAGCCACTTAGCACATCGGAGACTTCAACATGACAGGACTTGTGCACATTGTACAACTACTAGTAACAGTGGCTACTACGAGCAAGGGGCATCGCTACTAGGAGCAAGAAGCTACCAGTGGCTCCTGGCCAGACTACTAGGAGCAAATAGCTACTAGTAGCGTCCTTTAGTCAAGCTAAAGACCGTCAAACTCAACCAGAAAGGGCACCTTGAGGGGCACCTTGGGCGGGCGCAAGGCCGGTGGCTCATTGTGGAAATTTGCCTGGCCGCTGGCAGGCGAAACGCGGCGAAACCTCCATGCAGACCTCACATCCGCCATGATCCGCCTCACTTCTTCTCCGTTTGGAAAGAAATAATTAGTAGCCATCTATGTGCGGCTATGTAAGATGAGTGGGAAGCACCTGGAAGGCCCTATTGCAAAGTGCGATGCTTCACACGGAACACAATTACATAAAAGATCATAAAACATCATAAAAGATCATAAAAGTACAAATCACCCAGCTGCTGTTTTGTATGCTTCAAAAGCTGACACGTCGCATGACTTTCAGAAATGAGGGACAATCTCCATGTGAATTGGGCCAGCTTGACATATTTCACCGAGTGCCGCTCCATGGCTGCATGAACAACGCTGGGCTCTCCAGTGGGCTCTCCAGTACTGCAAAATGGTGATTTCCTGGACCCTACTTTCTCAAGACAGTACTAACTAGGCACAGGTACGTCAAACACCAGGCAACACCAAAAGAGATTACATGTCAGCGATCTGAGTTGATGCGTCGTCCTTGAATCATTTGTGTGTGTGCGCGGTCTGGCATTTTTATTTCCGCAGTCAATCCAGTTTCTTTTCAACATATCCCAACTGCAAGGTGCCAGCTCATAATGCGGCTGATGATCCTTTAGCGACTCAAGAGCAACAATGTGCGATTGCTGGATGCAACTCTCTCTTTGCAACCACCAGCGGTTTTCAAATCCTGAGTTTATATACAGCAACATCTCAACATGTCCACAGAGTATGGCATTGGAACATGCACGGCCAAATTCTTGATTGGAAACAGGATTCACAAGCGACTTAGGTCGAGATTCACGGCTGACAAAGAGCATCTTTCATGCCAAGATCGAGGAACCTCAACAAGCTATGTTGCTCCACTCCAGCCCAAAATAGTCAGAGACTCGCTCCCTTTCACCAACTCAAAGCTTTCAACTTTTGAGCTCGCTGCATCTCCTCAACGTCATGAAAAGCTTGGGATTCTCGCTTTCCAAGCAGTCCGTTGCAGCATTTCAAGGACTGAGATGCCTGTCTCAACCATCTAGTGTAGAAGCAGCACCACTTGCATAAGACTTGTACATCGTGTTGTTCCTAACTCTGGCAGTCTGATCCCTTTGTGAAAAGTCTGACCCCCCAGAGCCCCTGGACATCTCTAGACAAACCGGACATCGGAGTTGGCCGACTCAAAAGGTGAGCCATGCCAAACTCCCAGCAGCCTAAAGCTGAATTCCAACAGTTGACCTCCAATGGCCCTCAAGTGAAGTTCAAGACTTCTGACAACGAAGCTGACATGCTTCTGTAGACATGTTGCCATGGTCACTCATGGTCCTTTACGTCGAAATGTCGAACTACTTGTCATTCTTGGATTTGCCACTTTTGAGCTCGCGAGATGCCTAACGCCACCGATACATCGAGGTCAATGCCCTTAAAATTGAATTCGTCCCTTGCCACCGAGGGAAACACGTCGTCTTTTCATGCAGCCGATCTTTCGGCATTCTTCGATCCGAGCTTGGCAACACGTATTTCTTGCCCAATCCTAGTAGCGTCCGATCGCTCCTAGTAGTAAGGCCAGGAGCCCCGAACGTAGCGTCCTTGCTCCTAGTAGATGATCTCATACATGATGATACATGATACATCATGATACAGATTGCACTTGGCTCTGCTGGATGTGCTCAACATCATGCAATATGCTCACGAGCAATCCACAGTTGTCTTGGGCATAGGATACCTCCAGCGGTAAACTACTCGCGGAAGCGTTGCGCTGAAGACCAAAGCCATAGAAACCAATAGACACCACATTATATGTTGCACATAACTGAGGCCTGCAAGGTCAAATTGCTCCTAGGCATTATGAAATGACGAGCTGACAGCGTATCACATATCAAAGCCAACTCAAAACAATATAAACAATTCTAAATAATTCATATATAATTCGAAAGGTCATCTCTGCCTGAAATGAGGACAACCAATATGCGAAACCAAGGGGCCCCTGTCGAACTGGACGAGGTGACATGAAGCCACAGGAACTGACGATGTCGCCCCTCAGTGTGGTCTCCGCTCCACCGTCTCCGCTCAACAAGCCAACAGGTGTGCACGTTGTGCTACTGTTAACAGAAGCAGTGAGTAACAGATGAACTCACGCTAGTAGGTTGGAGGCCATCGCTTCAAGGTTGCAGCCCATCGCTAGTCGGTTGGAGGCCATCGCTTCAAGGTTGCAGCCCATCGCTAGTAGGTTGGAGGCCATCGCTTCTAGGTTGGAGCCC